TGCATTTTGTGGAAAGCATGGGATGGTAATGTTTGTCCTTTGGATGGCTGTCTTTAAGGGCGTAGCTAGAGGTTTTTCAAGGAGAGGCTGGTTCTAAAGAGTCTTGTCACTTCTCAGTTCTTAATAATTCAATATAAAAATGAAGAAAGGTTCATCCAGTCTACCTTTAGACGCTTCCCTTCATCCATGGCTGTCTTCCTGACTGGGAGTTCCATTTTTAAAAATGTTTTAATTGTTTTATTTCAATCTGCTAGTTAAAACTTTACTGACCACTTCAGCTATGTCAATGTTTAATGATGCAGCATATATGAGCGATCTGGTTACCATAGAATCGAAGAATGCGCTTTAACCATCCACAAGTTTCTTACTTTATATCATAAAATTAATATTTTCCTCAACATTAGCGCGATTTCCCCAACAATTTCGAGCACGTACATTTAAATCAAATAGCACACAGTTCAGTGTCAAGTATTATGAAGCATAGCAACCAAGTCACACAAAAATAAAAGAAGAAAACATGTGTATGGTGAATATGGGGGGAAAAAGAGCATAAAATGGAAAATTCTCGGTCCCTATATCGAAAAAAAAATTGTAATGTGTCGTATATGAAAAAAAAAAGAATTTCATTTTCAATGGCTCATTCTCTTTCTCTCTTTACTACTACTTCTGCTTGCTTGCTGCTGTTATGTAGACGATTACGTTCTCCGGCTGTTTATGAAAGGCAATGTACATGGATTCAATGTTGGATAACAACAAAAATTTGTTATTGCAATGATTAAATATTATATTCATGTACGTACAAAATTTCGGTCTCAACATTTCACTTCTTCTTTTTTTACATTCTATTTCGTACTAATACAAGCACTTTCTGGAATATTCTATGTGCATTGCTCTCTTTTTTTTCAAGTAAGGCTTTTGAATGTGATTTTTTTTTTTTTTTTTTGGATATTTAATGAAAAATTTTGTTCGCGCTTTTCATCGACAGTTGAATAAAATCTGAGGTTGCCGGCCTTTGAAATAAAATGTTCTGGATGTTGAGTGTAAATTTAATTTACGGAAGGGAGAGATTGTTTAATTTGTATCAGCGGCGACGATTGAGAATCATAAATTAATTTTTTTGGAGCGCGATTATTTTAAAATTGGGATTTTTTTTTTATTTCTTTGTTATTCTGGATTAAGTTTCAAATGAGTAGACTTAATTGCTGCTTCTGATTGCTAATCGTTTGGATATTTTGGAACCTTCTCTACAAAAGCTTAATATCGACTAGGTTTTATGACAATATAATAGGAAAATTTAAGTCAATTTCGAGCTTTACTATAAACGCCATATTCAGCAAATCGTCAACTTTATTTTTAGATTTTAAGTTTCCAACCCTCGAAATTAATGAATGAAGATATGCACACACAAAAAATAAGCAGTCAAAAAAAATTATGAAATTTGAATATGTAAAGCATGTTTTATAATACTATATTTTGCATGACTTGATGAAGTAATTATAATACTTTGCATAAAATGTATTACAATAATTTGCAATATTATGGAATACTTCCAAAAAAAATTATATCATAATTTGGTTACAAATTTCACAACATCCGAATAATTGGATGTACATTTTAGGATGCAAGGATGTTGGTAGTGCACTTGAATGTACAAGATTAAAGAAGAATAAGATTGAATGTCAAGTACATTAGGCAGACCCAAAGAAGGTTAGTAGAGAGATGTTATGTTATGTTCAAAAAGCCAGCCATTAAATTTAGAAACGTTAAATATCAGCCAAAAAATCAATTTTAAATCTAAAATCTCTGATAAAAGTCTGTAGGCACCCAAAAAACACAGCCGTGTATTGAAAAAAAAAACATTATAAATCTTCCAGACACAATTTTACTTGTTCCAACTTCCTTCCAACATGAATTTGACAATTGCAATTTCATTCATATCCAACAGCCTACAATGAACTTCAAATCAATATAAAATATTGAAAGCTACTTTTAGCACTGATGTTCTAATCAATAATCTAATTTTTATCAATTTTATCAGCTACCTTTCTGTTTGTTGACAACAAAATGTCCATAGCACAATTATTAATCATTCGCAATTTCTAATAATATTAAATCCTCAATTAAGTTTGCCGGTAAAAAATGCGTCGCATCCATTAAAACCTTTATTTCCCTTAGAAATAAATTCATTCTACACAAATTTAATATAAAATTTATAGACTTCGAAATGAAAAGAAAAGAAAAATGTGTGTTGATCAAGAAGATATTAAGAATCAGATGAATAAAATAGAAAAAAAATATAGAGCAAAATAGGAAGCGAAGATGAAATCTTCGACGCAATTAAACAGAAAGAAAATTTAATTTTCTCCATGCTCACGATCGGTTTTTTTTACATTTTTCACATAAACACAAGCTCGTGAATGAAAATTTCCTCATCGCACGAACAACGACATGGAGAGAAGATAGAGAAGGAACAAATTTATCCGTCATGGAAATTTTCCAAAAAGCACATTTTGTGTCGAACTCCAAAAAAGAAAGAAAAATGAGAAAATAATCATCTCGAAAAAATAATATTAATTTTTCCCTCGAAAAACAATTTTTCTTTACTTCGAGAGGTTTTTTTTTTTTTGAATAAACATAACAAGAAATGAAAAGAATTTAATTTTTTTTCCTCGTTCGGACGATTTTGTATAAATTTTTCCATTAAATGAATTTTTAACTTGATTTTCATCAAAATTTTCATTGTCAGTCTGTCTGGACTTGGTTTTAAATATTTAAGAAAATAACTGTTATTTTTGACAAATTTCTCAAATGATCTTCATTTGAAATTTTTATAGACCTAGTTTTCAAAATTTTTGAAAATCGTTAAAATTTGTATTTTTGACAGCCGTGATTATTCAAATTTTTACAAACCGTTGCATTTTTAATTTTTGACAACCATTAATTTTTAAATTTTTCAAAACCTATAAATTTTCTTCTAATCTATAAATGTTTATGAATGCGTTTCTGCCCCAAAAGACACAGACAACTTTGCATGCTTCCAGAAAATTAAATTTTCATCGTCACTGCTCTATGGAAGATTCAATTTTATTTCATAATGTAGACAGTTTAAATGGCATCCTAACGCATTTTCATCATCTACTTACAAAATAAAAACCTTCATAAACACTCACAAATATTTCACAGACACACACACACACACACAGAAGATTCATGGAAATAAATAAGTTTTATGTTCATATCGTCGTTGCATTTTATGTACATATGTACACGACGAAAAAAAAAGAACTGAAAGAGAAGAGCAGAACAGGCAACAACAAAGCTGCATTGAAACATGTCTGAATCCCTTTTTTTTCTGTTATGGAACCATTTGCATTGATATTATTATTGCTATTACACAAAAGGCAGAAAAGAGTAAGTGGCAAGCCATAGTATTTTTATTTTCAACCCCTAGGATTTTTATGTTGCTGCTTCTTCTATCCTGTTTCAGGTTTAAAATCAGTTATTTTTCCTGTGATGCGTTTTTTTTTTATTTTGCACAACAAACTTCATTTTAGAATCGCTCATTTAAAATTTTTTAATACTTCTCTGTTTTATTCTCGTCTCGTGTGTTCCATTCCAGACAGTCCAATTACTTTTTATTTTATTTTTTAAAAAAAAAATTTTAATGCCATTTCGGTCCACAAATATCAACTAATACAGACGGAGACATCTGCTATAATTTTTGCGGAAAAATGCTCATCCATTTCTCCGGATGTAAATATAAAAAGATTCTTTATTTTAGGCTCAAGCACAAATGCTAGCTTGATATGTGTGGATAGAAAGGAATGGAGAAAAAAAAAAGCCGACAAGAACTTTCACTTTTCATTTGGATTTTCCACGAGAATAAAATTCTATTCTTATATTTAGGAATATAAAAATATATAATTACCGATTAAATTATTCACTCAGTTTGATTTAATTCACTTTAATTTTTCTGCTAATATGCACTCACACTAGATTTTTATATTTGCATCAAATTCTTTGTTTCTTCACTTTTTTTTATTACTGAAAAAACTCTTCCTCTTTCCTTTGTGTCTGGAAACCTTATTTTTATTATTTTATATTTAAATTTTTTTTAAGTCAGGCTTGTTCATTTAATGTTAATTAATTAAACTTAAGATCAATTTTAATATTTATCGATTTTTAAAAATTGTCTTAATTAATTAGGCTATAATTAATTGCCGTATGTCTTCTTTTTTGTCTAATGTTCTTGTGAATTTTTTTTATATTTTTTTTTTAAACAAGCACTAGTTTTTGTTAATTCAAAAGCGCGTAAAATTTAAACTGATCTTCACGGAGGGCAAATACAAACTGAATTTTTGAAGCATACAATTTTAGCGAATGTCTTTTCGGATTAGACTTTTTAAAACGGATAAGAATCGTCGAATTTGAAAAATGAATTTTTGAATTTCCGTTACGTTTTTTAAGATTTGAATTTTTCGACGAGTTTTGAATTTGTGAATTAGAATTTCATTTTAATCGCAGATTTACTCAATATTTCTATTGATTCTATTTGTAGATATCACTTTTCATTTAAAAACATCCATAAATATTTAAAAACCATAAATTTCTCTCAATACATAACCCAAAATATTCTTTTGACTCACCTGGAACCTCTCATAAAGCTTCTTCTTCTGCTCAGCCTCATTAATCTCGTCTTCACTCATTGATTCCACAATAATCTCTTCGAATACTTCTTCAGCCATGTTCACTTCTTTAATTATTTTCACTTTTAAATCGTAAACAAAACACAAATTTTTCAACTTTTTCACTTTTTGTCAATAACTCGCGATTATTCAGCTTAACTTTCAATTATCACTGTGTCTTGTCTTTATTATATTTTACTTTCCGGTAGAATAATACACGTTAATACACGATTTATAGTCGAATTAAATAAATTTGCACAAATTTTTCGCACTATTTTAAAAGTCTACAAAAACATTAAAAAGTCTCCAAAACATCTGATTTAAATGTAAACAAAAGAACAAGAATGCTTAGTCTAAGAAAAATCAATTTTAATTCAATAAAAACGATCAAAAATAGTATAAGGACATTTATAAACGTTATATATGAGCCTGGAGAAGTTGAATCAAGTTATGTTGTGCCTGATCACATCATTAAACCAAGTTATTACACAGAAATAAATAAACCAGCAAATTTAATTGGAAAAATAAACATTAACAATGAAGATCAGATCAAAAAGATGCGGAAGAGCTGTAAAATTGCTGCCAATATACTAGAGAAGTGTCATGAGATTGTCAAGGTATGAAGCTATAAGATCTAGTTGGGTTTTGATGAGTTTTTTCATGTTATGTATTTTTGTGCGAAATAACCATGAACTTGACCTTGAAGTATGTTCTTTTACTGATTATAAAGAAGTCTACAGGTTGCTTTATCAAAAAGTTAAGATCCAGCAATCATTTGCATCAGTTTTAGAAAATTTCCTTCTGGATCTAAATGTTCATCATTAATTAATCATTGACATTGGCTTCTCATTACAGCCAGGAATCTCAACGCATGAAATCGACAGATTTGTATTCAATGAAATCATCAAACAGAACTGTTATCCATCGCCACTCTATTACTGTGGCTTTCCAAAGGCTATTTGCACTTCCGTAAATAATGTAGCATGTCATGGGATTCCAGACAGCAGGAAGTTAATGGATGGAGACATCATTAATATTGACATAACTGTATTTCATGAGAATTGCCACGGAGATTGTTCAAAGACTTTTTTGGTCGGAAAAGTTGACGATAATGGAAGGTACCTAGTCTATCATAATGATAAAGGACTTTATGAAGCCATAAAGATCTGTAGACCTGGAGTTGATTTCCGTGAAATTGGGAAGGCTCTTCAAGCATATGCAAACAGAGCAGAATTAAATATTGTTCAAGATTTCATTGGTCATGGCATTGGCGAGGAGTTTCATTGTCCACCAGAAATTTATCATTTTGAGAATGACTACGAAATCGGAACTATGGAAAAGGGTATGATATTCACGATTGAGCCAATATTTTCAGAAGGAGCTGGTGAAATTGAGTTATGGGAAGATGAATGGACTGTAAGCACAGTAGATAATAGCAGAACTAGTCAGCATGAACATACAGTCCTTATAAATGATGATTCTTGTGAAATTTTAACGATGCCTGATTCGTCAAATTAATACATTTTTGTTTTACAAAAACAAGCTTCAAGGTTTGATTATTTTAAGAAAGTTCTAGTTATAGTTTATGCAATAAACATGAGCATTTCATTAGTCTCCAACATGTCAGTCAGTAATGTTTCTATGCCAACTGTTGCTTCTTTCTTTATTATTTCGCATAAAACAAAGTTATTGCCTTGATGACATCTTGCGAAAGTTATTAATATTGATTTTCCAGGTTTTTCTAAATGTTGTGCATGTCATGCAATGTTTCAACAATTTTTAATTTCTTTTATTTCATTAATTTAACATTTAGTTCCCAAAAGTGTCAAATAAAAAGTCGTAAAAGCTCGTTATTTGTTAACGATCATAAAAAATTCAAATTCAAATCAAATCTCTCCAAAATGTTTAAATTTAAAACAATCGTTGAGACAAATTTTACAACTACAATCACAGAAATTGTAGAAATTCTATTCATTCTCATCAAAATATCCAGAAAGTAAACATCATAAAATTTAATCGTGAATTTTAAAATTATTAAGTGAAAGATATGTTTAAAAATACATTTCAGTCAGGATTTTTATCAATCCTTTACAGCATCGGCAGTAAGCCTCTACAAATATGGGACAAAAAGGTGAGTTAAAGAATATTTTGAAAATTACTGGCGGCAAAATTAATGTTTTGAATTAAACCTTAATTATGTTGAGCTATTTGCGTGATTTATGTTGAGCATCTCATGTCTGTAATTAAATTTGATGAGTAAATCACAATAGATGTCAAGGAAGGATATCAAACAAAAGATCCAGAAAAGCTCAGCATAAATCACATTTAAAACCATTGACCAACATCCAGTTGATCTATAATTCTAGGTGCGAAACGGACATATAAAGCGAATAACAGACAATGACATTCAGAGCTTGGTATTGGAGATAATCTCAAGTAATGTATCAGTGACGTTTATCACATGTCCATCAGATCCCAAAAAGACTCTAGGAATTAAGCTCCCATTTCTGGTCATGATCATTAAGAATCTTAAGAAGTATTTCACATTTGAAGTTCAAGTAAGTTCCAGTACTTCCTATTTTTTCGCAGTCAAAATGAAACTTTGTTAATTTCTATGAGGAAAATCAATAACTTTTCCATGTTAAGCTATTGTTGATTTTCACTCGTTGCTAAGCATGAAAAGTTCGTTGCTAAGTACGAAAAGAAATCAAGACCATACGTGATGTATGAATTTGAATTTCAATCGGGTGTTAATGCTCTCATTTGACTAATTATGCCTGTATTTTGTATTTGGTTTAAGGTTCTTGACGATAAAAATGTTAGAAGGCGATTTAGAGCTTCAAATTATCAATCAACGACGAGAGTGAAGCCATTCATTTGCACGATGCCGATGAGACTTGATGTAAGGAATAATACTTTTTTGTTGATGATTTTGGCGCATTTAAAGCTTCTGAGCCAATCAAAGTGCCACAAACAGCACAATCATCCCCACATAAACAACTCAAAATGAACTTTGCCTAACATTTAATTTATTTATTTATTAATATTTTATTATAGGAGGGTTGGAATCAGATTCAGTTTAATTTATCAGACTTCACACGACGTGCCTATGGTACAAATTATGTAGAAACCTTGCGTGTTCAAATTCATGCCAATTGCCGAATAAGACGTGTCTATTTCTCCGATCGCTTATATTCCGAAGATGAGTTACCAGCTGAATTCAAATTATTTTTGCCAATCCAAAAGCCACAGCAGTCAAAAGTTCAAGCAACACAATAAAGTCACCGATAATTTTCATATTTCAATATATATTTCCAGCACCGATTGTTTTGTGATCTTCAAGCGATAAACAACAAAAAATATTTTAAAAAATCACCAAATTTGCTCATTTTAAATGCACAGAACATCAATGTCATTGCGAAAAAGGTATTAAATAAATTTTGTATAAAAATTGAAGGTGAGAAACGAACTTTTTTGCAACATTTTGTGCACTTATCAAACAGGATATACCTAATAATAAAGAAATTATTTTTGACTTAAGGACATACCCAAAAAAACAAAAAAAAAATATTTAAAATTGACAAGGAAAAAACATGAATAAAAGATAATTTTATGATAGATAAAATATCATTTTTTGACAGTTGCATGCTATTTTATTGTGAAATGTTGTTCGAATAGGAAATGGGATCATTGACCTTAGGAAAATTATTATTGCTTATATTCTAACGTTTTTTTTTGACGCAATTGATTTTATGGAAAATGAGCTGAGTTGTGTGTTGTATGTTTGGTATAAATGATGCGTATTCAGTCACTCTTCGTCTATTAAAATTTTGCTTGAATTCAAGTCTGCATTAAAAAGTTCGTTATTTTTTCAAAGTTCAAAATTTGAAAATTTAACGAAATTTTTGAACTTAAAATATTTTGATAAGTTTTTTAAAAATAAGAATTCCGTTAAATTTTTGAACTTAAAAAATCTGATAATTAAACTTTCAAATAAGAAATATTATCAAACTTAAATGAGAATTTTAAAATCTTCAACCTATAGTTTCAAGATTTTTTTTTTCAAAATCAATCATTTCATGTCAATTTTTCAAAATTTAACTACAGTTAAATACGTAGTATGACTTCAAAAAGGTAGTCAAATGCTCACGCAAAAGCTTATCAAGAACATTGTCAACATGGATTGTAACTTTGTCATCACACTGATATTTACTATCATGCTTGCATACATTTTACTCAAGACATTCATAAAGTAAGCAAATGCTTTAATCGTTCCAATTTTAATATGCTTCGTGGCTGCTGTGTTTGTGTACCCAGGACTGTTAGAATACACAAAAGCTGTACTGGAGATGAACATCAATTTTTTGACATTATATTTTAAAACAAAGTAAAATACATTTTTTTTGTATTTCTGGGGGGGGGGGGGGGTACAATAAAATTTGTATGGAAAATTCAGAGGGAAAGGGGGAGTAATTTTATGATTTTTTCATAAAACTCCTACCAAAATGAAGAAATTTCTCTTAACGTCGGGGGGTTTGTCCCCAAAATCCCCCCTCCCCCCACCTGGTTACGTTCCTGATTTATAAGTTATGTGAGATAAGTCTTTAATTTGTATCGACTACGATCACTAAGATGAGCATTAGAATTTTAACAAAATAAACAAATCAAACTTAATATAAAACCCAATTCCCATAGAATTTGAATATTAAGACGGGAATTAAAAATTTTACAAACCAATTCGAAAGAACGAACTTGTTTGAGCACAAATAATGGATTTTCCATAACAATATTCAGTCGATAACCCAAATGCGACATTCAATTAAAATCAAATTTTTTATTCTTAATGATTTGTACCAGAACTATAATGCTTGGTCATTATTTTATTCAAGGCGAGGACACTCCAAAATACGCTGGGATTATTCAGGATTATTGGGATTATTAGGATTATTGGTCCCCAGGTTTAGGATTATTAGAATTATTAAAATAATTTTTAAAATTCATACCGTTTTCACGTGTGAATCTATTGGTTATGTTCAGATTGAAAAATCAGTTTTTTTAATTTTGTGAGGATATGGAGCAAGATAGCTTAAAATGTTCATAGATGAAAAGTTTGTGCGTTGAATTTCACATCTTTTGCAAAAAACAGATTTCAAATTGGTTGCGGCATTGCTGAGAAAATCGCAAAATATGCTTTCTGTAAGCAAGCAAACAAGCAAGATAATCAGCAAAAAATCTCAATAACGAGACATTGTAGAGACCTCTAGTTTTTTACATTTGATCCGTGCTGCTCTATAGAAGAGCTATATAGTTTTTAGGCAAGGGAGGAACAGCCGTTGCTTCAGAAAAAGCAAAAAACTTTCCTTTCTTACGAATTTTTCAAATTAAAAAATCATTGTGATTTCTTTTTAAATTAAACTTTGGATGAAAAAAATTATAAAAGAAAAAAGTGAGAAAATTAATTTTTACTAGGGTCGCCCCAAGTCCATTGAATATTTATGCAAAGTTTCAATCCATTTGGATAAACCCTCGAAGAAAAAAGTGAGAAAATTGATTTTTACTAGGGTCGCCCCAAGTCCATTGAATATTTATGCAAAGTTTCAATCCATTTGGATAATCCCTCGAAGAAAAAAGTGACAAAATTTATTTTGACTAGGGTCGCCCTAGTCCAAAATTGAATATGTATTTCCTACTTGGTTCTTTGCTCAAAAAAATTAGGATGTTTTATTTGTATTTGTTTTAAGCACTTGAATATTTTTGCAAAGTTTCAATCCATTTGGATAAACCCTCGAAGAAGAAAGTGACAAAATTGATTTTGACTAGGGTCGCCCCTAGTCCAATATTTGAAATGTATTTCCTTCTTGGTTCTTTGCTCAAAAAAATTTTAGGATATTTTAATTGTATTGGTTTAAGCACTAGAATATTTAAGCAAAGCTTCAATCCATTTGGATAAACCCTCGAAGAAAAAAGTTACACAATATATTTTGACTAGGGTCGCCCCTAGTCCAAAAATGAAAATGTATTTCCTACTTGGTTCTTTGCTCAAAAAAATTTTAGAATGTTTTATTTAAAGCACTTAAATATTTATGCAAAGTTTAAATCCATTTGTATAAATCCTCGAAGAAAAAGTGACAAAATTTATTTTGACTAGGGTCGCCCCTAGTCCAAAAATGAAAATGTATTTCCTACTTGGTTCTATGCTCAAAAAATTTTTAGGATGTTTTATTTAAAGCACTTAAATATTTATGCAAAGTTTCAATCCATTTGGATAAATCCTCGAAGAAAAAAGTGACAAAATTTAATTTGACTAGGGTCGCTCCTAGTCCAATTGAAAATGTATTTCCTACTTGGTTCTCCGCTCAAAAAAAATTTGAATGTTTTGTTTGTATTTGCTTTAAGCACTCGAATATTTTTGCAAAGTTTCAATCCATTTGGATAAACCCTCGAAGAAAAAAGTGACAAAATTGATTCTGACTAGGGTCGCCCCTAGTCCAAAATTGAAAATGTATTTCCTTCTTGGTTCTTCGGTCAAAAAATTTTTGAATGTTTTATTTGTATTTGTTTTATGCATTAGAATATTTGTGCAAGGTTTAAATACATTTGGATAAACCCTCGAAGAAAAAAGTGACAAAATTGATTTTGACTAGGGTCGCCCCTAGTCCAAAATTGAATATGTATTTCCTCCTTGGTTCTTTGCTCAAAAAAATTAGGATATTTTATTTGTATTTGTTTGAAGCATTAGAATATTTGTGCAAAGTTTCAATCCATTTGGATAATCCCTCGAAGAAAAAAGTGACAAAATTTATTTTGACTAGGGTCGCCCCTAGTCCAAAAATGAAAATGTATTTCCTACTTGGTTCTTTGCTCAAAAAAATTTTAGGATGTTTTATTGTATTTGTTTGAAGCATTAGAATATTTATGCAAAGTTTCAATCCATTTGGATAATCCCTCGAAGAAAAAAGTGACAAAATTGATTTTGACTAGGGTCGCCCCTAGTCCAAAAATGAAAATGTATTTCCTACTTGGTTCTTTGCTCAAAAAAATTTTAGGATGTTTTATTGTATTTGTTTGAAGCATTAGAATATTTATGCAAAGTTTCAATCCATTTGAATAAACCCTCGAAGAAAAAAGTTACACAATATATTTTGACTAGGGTCGCCCCTAGTCCAAAAATGAAGATGTATTTCCTACTTGGTTCTTTGCTCAAAAAAATTTTAGGATGTTTTATTTGTATTTGTTTTAAGCATTAGAATATTTATGCAAAGTTTCAATCCATTTGGATAAATCCTCGAAGAAAAAAGTGAGAAAATTGAATTTGACTAGGGTCGCCCCTAGTCCAAAAATGAAAATGTATTTCCTACTTGGTTCTTTGCTCAAAAAAATTTTAGGATGTTTTATTGTATTTGTTTGAAGCATTAGAATATTTATGCAAAGTTTCAATCCATTTGGATAATCCCTCGAAGAAAAAAGTGACAAAATTTATTTTGACTAGGGTCGCCCCTAGTCCAAAATTGAAAATGTATTTCCTACTTGGTTCTTTGCTCAAAAAAATTCTTTTCATCCAAAGTTTAATTTAAAAAAAAATCACAATGATTTTTTAATTTGAAAAATTCGTAAGAAAGGAAAGTTTTTTGCTTTTTCTGAAGCAACGGCTGTTCCTCCCTTGCCTAAAAACTATATAGCTCTTCTATAGAGCAGCACGGATCAAATGTAAAAAACTAGAGGTCTCTACAATGTCTCGTTATTGAGATTTCTTGCTGATTAACTTGCTTGTTTGCTTGTTTGCTTGCTTACAGAAAGCATATTTTGCGATTTTCTCAGCAATGCAGCAGCCAATTTGAAATCTGTTTTTTGCAAAAGATGTGAAATTCAACGCACAAACCTTTCATCTCTGATCATTTTAAGCTATCTTGCTCCATATCCTCACAAAATTAAAAAAACTGATTTTTCAATCTGAACAAAACCAATAGATTCACACGTGAAAACGGTGTGAATATAAAAATTTTAATTTATTTTAATAATCTCAATAATCTTAAACCTGGGATTTTTTTTATTATTATTTAATCACTGGGATTATTGGGATTAATCCCAGTGTCCACGCCTTGATTTTATTACATCCTACTTCTATGGGAATTTCTTATTTTTATATTGAATATCTAAAAATTCCCAGAAACACAAAAATATGAGGGGAGACATGATTTTTAACAAGTAATAATTTGTATTGTGCATTTTATTTTATAATTTTCTAAAAGAAAAAAATTTTACACCCCCCTGCCCACCTTGTTATAACATTTTTCATTTGTTTAAGCTTTAAGAAAATCCAATTTTCGCTTCTACTCCTAATTAAACAATTAAAATTACACATATTTCGTTGACATGAATCATATAATTTCGCACGTGTCACGCAATAAGTTTATCTTCTATCCATCCACATACATGCAAACACATCAGCGAATTTAATCTGATATTGTTTTCTTTTTAAATTAGTCACACAATCAACAAGGTAAGGGGATGACAACTTAAGTTAATAGACAAACTTTGCTTACTTTTGCT